GTGTGTTTACTGACCTCAGTTTTGCCATGGTGTATAAGTGTTGATGGAGGAACTCCCTGAGAATCAGAAAGGGCTTTGGCCAACCACACATTAACATGCACCTTTACCTTCCATTGTCTTCTAATCATGCAAAAAAATAATTTAGGCTAATCTGTGTTGTAGTAATGTCCCAGATGTCTGGGCTAAAAAGCATAACCTGGGCACAGAACTGCAGTTCTGAAAGGGTGAGATGCCCTTCCCTTCCAGGGCGTGTGGGAGAAGGAGCCCTTCCATTCACAATATGGTGCTCAGCTCAGCCAGGAGGAGAGGCAGCATGTGGGAAGAGGAGTTACAGGGCTGAATATTTGATGAAATGTAGGGGTGAGGAAAGATGAATGCTTGCAGAGACTGGTGGGGCTGTGCATCCCTGAGGGCTTTGCCCAGTTGCTTAGATATAAATGAACCTTTCAATCTGTCTTCGATGAGCTCAAAACTGGCTCCGTGAAATCTGTAGATAGCACCACATATCAGCTACTGCATTATTTGTGTACTGATGCTATGGCACATATGGTCCTCTGCTTACAAGAGAAGATGTTAAGGGAGAGACCTGAGGAGGACAGCAGGGCTTACCCGGGGAGATGTTCACCTGTCCCTTTAGCACACTACTGTATCATTTCCCAATGTATGAGATTTCTCACTATAGGTCTATGCTAAAACACTCAAGAAGAGTTACATAGAGCTGAAGGTCCCTTACTATTTGAAAATACCACAATTACTTGGCTGTTCCCCCTGGAGTGCTGCACGTTTCTTCAAAAAGCTTCTGCTCTGAACGTGCCTTTGTCTGGCAGTGCTGCACAACCATGGACACAGTTTTGTTTTGCTTCCTCTCCACATACCACCATGTCTCTGTAGACTTGCACTGACACTCCTTCCCCTCTCAGAATATGTTGACATCTTGATGTCTTCTCCATAGATTCACACTGACACAGCGTTAGGGACTTTGTGATGACACCGCAGCCCATGTTAGTGAATGGTGAAATAGCCCTGTCACAAGCTATATTATGAAATATCAAAACTGTTTAAAAGTGTAGTTTTCCATAAGAAAAAAAAAAGAAAAAAAAAAAGAAAAAAAAAAAGAAAAAAAAGGGGAAAGAAATCTTGCGGGCTTTGAGCTTACCTTAAGGACTGATCTGCTCAGTTATGTACAAACAGGGATGCTTAATAGAGCACTGTGACCTTTGACAAACGTAAAGAAGAACTCAATGCCATAGGTTATCAAAAATCACAGTAAGTAGGAATGATATTCCTGACTTGTGACAACACCTCATAACATTTGCCTGATACGGGTACTTTAAAGTTCTGTATCTGGTACCAAATGTTTTTTTTCTTTGTGAGAAACACAGTTGCTGGACTTGAACTGGCAAAAATCTATTTTGTTTTTCTTTTGGGCTTTTTCCTCCTTGGTTATGAGTATTCTTCATACTAAATGCAGAACTGGATGTTCCATTCAGAAATGGTGTCATAATGACTCCAGTGCACCTAGTTAATTTCTTCTGAAAACAACTCCAAAGTACACTATTAATTTCCACTGAAAATGATTTCGATGCTCGACAGGGTTTTGACAGTTTATTAATGAAGGCCTCCCTATGTATGGACCCAATTGGTTTCTCTGTTTTTCAGGCAGTTATGAGAATCTAAAATAGGTCAGGTGAAGGTGAGTGAGGTTGTCCAGGCTTTGCCTCTTCATTCCTCTTTTTAACCATTAAAGATTGCCATCAGCTCCATGCAACAGTGAGGAAAACAATAGCTTCAGAAGAGGTGCAGCTGTTAAAGATAATTTTTCCTGCTACTATTTGGGACTGTCATTGGATCGGGGATGAGATAATTTGGACAAGTCAACAAGTTAAGACAAATAGTTTTGATTTCTTTGTTTATGAAAAGAAAAAAAGCACATTTGCTTAAGAATGTTGGAGAGGTGATTTTTGTTCCTTAATCCAAAAAGTGATTAATAGTAGGGCAGGCAGACGTGCACTTGGAATTTGACCACACAGGACAGAGTTCACAAGACAAATTCAACCCTAGTTTAAGTGCTACATGGTCTAATGAGCCTCAGTATCTAGTTATTTTCTCAAATGTCTGCCTTGCAGACACCTCAGAGCTGGAATCGGAAAATCCAGCTGTGTTCTTGCTGCTTCTCACAACACTGCATAATTAGAACGTGCTGATAACTTTGTTGATGCATGAGAGATAAAAATCCATTCTACCTCATGCTGTTGGTAAAACCGTGGTTTCATCAGGAAAGAGAGCAGATACGAATTAAAAACAAACTGAAGAAGACAGTATCATTTTCACCAGCACACTTCTCTGACATCACCACCATCAGTGTGTGTTGTACACCGTTGCTTTGCTCTTGGCGTGGCATTAATCTCAGCTGTGACTCAGGGCTGCATGCTGCTTGGCACTGCAGAGAAAAGAAGTACTCCATCCTTGGAAATCCTCACATCAAGAAGCTGCCTACCTAACGGCTTCCATTGCAGAGCTCTCCAGAAAGACCTTCTGCTCCTCCACAGTCACGTCTCTAGAGAAATGTCGTGTCCCCTACTTGGTTTTTTTCATGGGTAGAGAACATGACATGTAGCCAAGTGTTCCATGCTAAGAATTTCATGTTACATATTGTTGAAGATGACTGAAATAAGTTATGTACACATCAAAATGAGTGAACTTTTACCTCTTCTATTGCAAGCTATCCGTGACATCCTTGGAAATCATTGACTTCTTTGCTATTGACATTGGTGGGGGAAGGGGAAAAAGGTTCATCTTGCAGGAAATGCTGACTCAGAGATTTCTCAAGAAAATCTACTTTCTTAGCTGAAGAAGAAAGATTCATTATTTGCTCATCTCAGTGAAATCTAATTGTGATATTTATATTCTGTATTAATTTGATTCAGTAAAGATCTCCAACGTAGGCAAAGAAGCCAATCGTAATAATTTGTTCTGAAGCTTTTATTACTATTGTGTTTTGAATGCAGGTATTAAAACAGCAGTGGAGCAGCAGATGCCATACCTTGCATATTGCTAAAGATGCTACCTATGCAGTTCCTAAAAACACAAGCCCTTCTAATGGGAAGAAGCAGAAAAACTCCCAATGACTTCGGTTGGGTATAGATTTCAGGTGGCAAATAGAGTGGTGGTATTTTCTGAGGAATGGTTTATAGTAGCTTTGACTTCTCTTCTGTACTTTATAAAATACAGTTATATTCCATATATAAAAGTGTCTGCTTTGCATTAAAAGCAAGTTTTCTTTTTAAGTAAGTTGAATAAACCTCCTTAAATAGATGAGAACTGTTGGTACTGGGAGCTGTGACTTAGTGTACATTTTTTTTAACATTTTCAAATGCTTATTACAATTCCTACTTATTTTATAGCAATATCACACAATAAACTTTTCTTTTCTGATTAAGGGATTGAAAGAGAACTGAATTATAAACAGTATTAATATAAAAGGGAATTTCTATCCGGTGCTCTGTAGGCCTGAGTTTATTTGACCTTAAACAATCAGTCAGAAGAAGTCACATCAGCTGCTGTACACATTCCACATTACGGAGGAATTAAATTAAGCAGCTTTAATATCTGTGAAATGGCACAGGACTGAAAGAGAATCGTTCCAATTTATGGAATTTGTATCTGATTTACTAGTGCATGCCTAGCAATTCCAGAGTCACCAATTGCTTTAAGACCACCTCCAAAGTGTTTTTATCACTTACAGTAAATGTGCTAACATCGTGTTTTAATTAAACATTTAAAGTGCATCAAACAAATTTATTGATGCTGCCAGAAGAGGCAAAATGGAAGGCAAAAAATAAGGAATTCTGCTATTTGCAAAATGCCCTGGTGTATGCGTGATGGCGTGACCCCGGTAAGACTGCTCTCAAACATTCCAGCAAATGTCTATAAATTAACAACTGCTTCCCCTCCCCTCCAGTCCCTCCTTTTCCATCCCCAACCCCCAAATCGTGCTTTGTGCATAAAAACATGGCAAGAGCTTGTTGAAAGTCATTCAGCTATACTATCCAACGGTTGTGAACACTGCATTTATTTTTGCTCCTTGAATGCAAGCCTGATATTGAAATGATATAAAAGTCCCAGCAGCGCTTTATATTGATGTTGGCATTAAAAATGCTTTTTCTGTTAGTGAGAGAGAAGTTTCCCCCTTAAAAAAATAAAAGCCAATACCAGGCCTATCAAAACTTTATCATCCTGTTACCACTTGGGCACGGTATTAAATATTCAGAACTGGAGCTGGTTTTCATTAAAAATCCTTTTTCCTTCTGCACTGGGGATCGCAAACCTGCGACGGGTCCAGAATTCCTATAATCCTTTAAAAAAGGGAAAAGTAGGCATGGCATTGCCATCACCTGCAAAGACACGCTTGGATTTCAGCCCCAAGCTCGTAGGACTGATGCGGGGCGGCAGGGGCAGAGGTTGGCCTGGGAGCACCGCTGGCCTCACCACCTCCTCAGTCCTGCTCATTGCTGCAGGATGGAGGACCTCGAGGAACGTGGCCCAACGGTTCAATGCAGAGAGGCATTGTGCAGAGGGCTATGTGATGATTTATGCTTTATGGCACCAAAACTACGGGCATGGTTTTTTTTTTGCGTACATAATATAGCTTGGGTTTCCTTAGGAGGGAAAAGTATTTTGTCTTCCTGAGTAACCATTTGTTTTAGAGACTGATGATGGTGGGCAGGTTCTCTTTCTTACATATCTGTTCCTATATATATCTGTTGTTGTATTTAGCTGTTCTCTCATATGCAGTGGGTCATAATATGAACAGAAAGCATATTTCTGTACCAATCAGATGCACCCAAGCTGGTGCCTAGAGATGTGTGTCTAAGCAATTCTTGTTAAGGTCAGTTGTCTGCTAACAAGCTGATATACAAATGTAAAGTGCATTTCATTTATATTGTGTTATATTACATATCATCTTCAATTGAATTTCTCCATTTTTTCAAACCCAATAGCTATAAACATCACATGACTGGAGAGGAAACAAGCAAGGAGCCCAATAGCTGCTGGATCTGCCAGGAAACTGGCAAGCAGAACTCGGAATGCTATGGCACAACTGAAAATGGCTATTGCTGGGAGACTGTGGCTTTTATTCAGAAAAAAAAAAAAAAGAGGATGAACTAATGTTATCTCTAGGGATCAGAATCCTTATTTTTGCATGCCATTCAGTCACAGACTACGTGGAAGACACTGTGGTGTCCAACACAGTCGGACAAGTATTTTAATGGTGATAATTCACTGATGTGAGAACCACCACCAGCTATTCATCCTCTGTGATCTCCTGTCCTGTACCGACTCACCCCAGTTTGCAGGAGACAATCCTGACACGGGGTGTTTCATGGTTACCTTGTGGTCCACGTCTATTTTTGTATCTGTTGTCTCCTGCTTTATACTTAGCTCTTCTGGCATTCTAGAATTTGGTATAATGGAGCCCAATCAACGATGTGAGCTAGTGAGCAAGTAACACAGTGTGAATACGAGGAAATAATTGTGTCTTTCAGCAGGAAGGTGGAGACATTTTTCTAGAGAAAAGGAATAAAGGCCTCAGAAGAAGGGTGCAGCATTTCTCTTCACATCGCTTTATCTTGGATGATTTACCATTGTGTTCTAGGGGAGTGATTTTCAAAAAGAATGAATTTTGCATTAAATCCCGAGTATGGTTGCTGCAGAAGAGAAGATATTTGCCTATTCAGATGATGAGCTGGATGCATAAGTGATCGCATCAATGGGTAATGTGCACATTCACTCATAAGAAAAAATTTGCATGCCCTATAAAGACCTAAAAGTTGAACATCTGGCCTTTTCTGTGGCACCTCAATTTTGCTTCAATGTCTTCTATTCCTTGAAAGGTTTATTCCTAAAACCGTCAGATCATCACAGTCTTGATACAACATTCACTGCACACTGTTGGTAAATGAGCCGAGCTCAGCTGTGGTGGAATGACTAATTGCTTTGCATTAGAGATAGTTATGTTCACCAGGAAGTCCTTGAGTTGTACATGGCTGGACATGCATGGCAGAAAGACTGGTGCTGTTCTTCTGCCGTTCACGAGGGACTGAGGACAGACCACTTTGTTAGAATGGAAAAGCCATTGATCTTCTGCAGCATCTAACTCTTTTATCTAGCTCTTTGATTTTGCAAATATATAGTTATTATCAGTGTGAAGCATGAGAAAAGCTTTTGGCCCTGCCTGTGACAGGAGAGCTGGAACTTCATGATCCTTGAGGTCCCTTCTAACCCAAGCCATTCTCTGACTGTATGTTTCTATGAAAAGTATGCCCAAAGTTGTACAAAGTAAAATATCTTTTCTCTCAGCTTTACCCTGCTGCCTGTACATCCAACTGAAGTCCCATCCCTCTGGTCTGGATTCTGGGAAAGCCCAAGGCTGTGCCTGTCCGTAACACTGACTTGTGATATTATTTTTCTGTGCTATTGCCTTGCAAGCATGGAATGAAAATTGCACCTAACAAGAAAGACTGGTGGACCAGGCACTTCTCTTGTGTTTGCTGCGAGCTGGCTGCTGATGCAGATCGTTGGTTTGCTGTGGGCGTTCACTCCTCGGAGCGAGTCTTCCACATCTCATTGTCTTTATTTTTGTAATTTTGCCCTTGCCCCGACCACTCCAAATCCAGTTTGGGTTTGGGCTGTGCAGCTCTGATTATGAGTCACAGCAATATTCTCACACATCCTAGTATATTAGTTAAGGGACCTGTGAAACAGCAGTAGGACAGAAAGTTATTAGTTGAAATTCCCAAATGAAGGCGCAAATGCTGAGGAACTCGCTCTGCTTTTATTTGCCCCAGCTGAGGCAGAAATCTTGTGCAGCATGAATAAATTGTTACCTACTAGCTAAGAGAAGGGAGTTATTTGCTGGGTTACAGCCATCAGACTTAGACTCTGGGTGCAACCTAAGGGGCTCTCCGCTTTCGGACATCCAGCCCAGTTTTGCAAGACCGCAACTTAGGAAATTAAATCATATCAATCTTGAATCAGTTTTTCTCTGGAAGTCAGGGCCCAAGCACATGGAGATCCCTCGGATGAGTTTTGATTGCAGGATGAGTGGTGGGCTTAAAATTAAAATTACAAAGAAGCCGGTGCTTCTGATGGCTTCTAGCCCTGCCAGCTGCTGCCAGATGCTAAATAAGGAGGGCCCAGGTGCTGCTAGAAGCAAGTGATGGGGAAGATAACAAGGGGGGTTACCAGCCATTCCCTCCCATGCAGAGAAGGCACTCTACATGCTTGTACTTCTGACCCCAAGATCAAGTTCCAGATAACCATGTATGTAAAGCTCTGTTATCTTTCAGAGAAACCACAAGAAGCCTAAAACTGTATTCTTTTTTTTTTTTTTTTTTTTTCCATGAGGAAATCCTGTAGCAGCACTGCTCTGGCACTGTGACTGCAGCTCTGCTACACCTCTGCTGCAACGGGTGCTGCAGGAGCGCACACCAGCATCAGAAATGAGAGGGCAGAACCTTGGGAGCTGTCACCTCCACCGATCTAACAACAGTTTGCTCAGCTGAGGGCTGGCGGGGAGTGTTTGCTCATCTGCCTTAGCCATGGAAAACGAGGAGGTTAAAAATTAATCTTTGCAGCTGGCAACTGCTGTAGCGAGCTAACACGGTGGGGCAGAGTTTTTACCAATACCAGGAATGTTATGCAGCTTTGGAGTGGCCAAACAGCAGAGCTCACGTGTGATAGCTTGACCCAGACTGAAGGCACTGTGTGACCTGTGCAGAGCTAAGTGCGCCTTTTTGCACTGACCTGCAGTGCACCTTTTGCACTGACCTCTTTCATTCTGGTGATATGAAGATGTTGGCGTCCTGTGACAGTGCACTTCCATCTGCAGAATGGAAAACTGTGCTATGATGTGTATCTTTCCTTTGAAACTGCAGGATTAGAAGTACTAATAGCAGGCTATTTGAGTGGTGCAGGTAACTATAAAACCTTATGGTGTATCGCCCCTCTTATTAGCGGTTCTCTGTGCTTTCCTTTGGCTCATCAGTTGCAAAAGGACGCAGCCATGTGCTGCTGGAATTGGCTTGAAGCTGAACCTTGAATTTCAGGTAGATTAAAAAAAGACAATCGCTGTTGGAGGAGACTGCAGGAGATGGAGTCTAAACCTGCTGGAGCCAAACTGACACCAAAAAGAGCCAGCCTGCCACTGCTGTAAGTAGTGTAGCAGTTACCTGAACAGCTATAAAAGTGCAAATCCATAGAGGGGGCAGGAAAGAATAAAGAGAGAACTGCCCTCCCCGTCTCCTGCTCCACAGGGAATAACACAAGATGCACTACAGCAGCAAATGCTCCAAAGGGAGAGGAAAGAGCTGCAGCAGAAATCTCTGTGCAAACCACAGGGAAACAATTCTGTGTCTCCAGTTCTCTGTCATTCCGGTGCTGTGCAAATAAATAAGCTCCACGATTGCTGAAGACCTCATGCAAATGTGCTTGCACTCTGCACTCCTGGGGCACAGGCAATGGCTTTTTGCATTGTGTGAGCAAAGCTGGTTGTGAGAGCTGTAAAAAATAAAGCAGATATTGTCGCCTATCACCTCGTGTCCATTAGATTAAGTCAACATCATTAGATAAATTCTTCCTGCAAGATAGTTCTGCAGAAAGATTCAAGTGCATACCTGCCCTGCTCAAAGTGCTAATGGTGCTCCGGTACTGGAAGTAAGTGCCTTTTGAAGGCAGTTCAGAGCCCCCGTGCAGCTGCCTGCTTTATAGCTCGTAGCTGCATGTCACCTTTGAAGGCTGCGGATGGCAGTGGCAGAGCAGTGCCTCCCAGCCGGGGGAAGCAGGCAGTCGGCACAATTCATCCCTTACAATTAAGGGAGAAAAGCAGAAGCTGGGGAAAATTCAAGCAGTGTGTTTTAGTAAAGGACTGCTCCCTTACCTCAGTGAATTACCAGTGCCACTCACAGGGACGTGCGGGACCGATTGAAAGCACAGAAGGTAACAAGCACACGTGAAACCGACATGAATTAACCTGTAGAAGACTGAGTTTATTGCTCTTCATCATTTACACACATCCTTCTAAAGAAAATGATGAAAACCTTTGTGTAAATTACCAAGCCAAATGCTGTTCTTCTGTTCTGGGCTCAGAGGGCAAACCTCCCCGTGCAGAAATACCATCTTGTGATAAAATGACTAATACATGACTAAAGCCGTTTTCCACTGTGCAGGCGGAGCTCTGGGGATCAATTGTTTTCCATGGTGGATCCCTCAGACAGTGAATTCCTCTGGTGGTTGGTATGATATTCATGGCCAGGGCTCTTAGTCACCTCCAGGGAGCTGAAATAGGATGCCACTCCGGTTGCTGTTATTAATCTCGACTGCAGGTGTGAAAATTAATTTCATGGGTATTTTTATCATTTCCTTTTTGTTAAGGATTAGCATTTCCCAATGACCCGGACTCCGGATGGAAGCAAATGCAAAGTGGTTTGCCCAGCCCCGCCACAGTGGTGAGCTAATGCTGGGGAGCAGGAGGGGAATGGGGCATGAAACTTTCCATTCCCGCTGGTGTGGACAGTGAATGCCACTGAACGATGTCAGATGTCATCACAACATGCACTTCTCTGCACCGAGGCTCTCTAAAGCAATCCTGGAAAATGCAGGTTGTTCTCAGTTCTGTGGGAGAATAACTCATTTGCTAATAGTGGGAAAAAAAAGGCAAAGTCAAATGTATCAAATCAAATCAAATGTAGCTGTTTAGAAAGCTACAGCTCCTATTTGCTGGCACCCAGGCTGTTTTCACAAGGATTTTCTGACAGATGCTGCTATATCTCCAGAGTCAAGAAGACAGCTCCAGCCACTGGGCTTCCAACATGGAGACCAGAGCTGGGGGCCAGGCACGGGAATGGGAATGGGAATGGGAATGGGAATGGGAGAGCAGAGCTCACCTGGTGGAGAGGGCCGGGGGTGGGAGCAGCTGGAGCCATGGCAGGGAGAGGAATACACTGTCCCTAGCTCTGCCCAGGATTAAGCCCTGGCTGCTGGCAGTGATGCTGGCTCCAGAACTGTCTCGTTTTCACTGACACCTCCTCCTGCCAAAACCCAGTGAGTAATGCTCAGGAGATAAGCAGGTTAGGCCAGATTCAGCATGATAATTGAAGGTTGGAGGTAATGTGAGATCCTTATGTGCTCCTGTTGGCACAGCCCCTTTCTGCCATAAGGCCATGCAAGCCAAGAGGCTTGTGCTGCTGAAGACCCCATCGCTTACTGCACACATTTCTATGCTTTACTCACATGGGATAAGCCCAGTGCATGGCACTCAGCCCACCACGTCAACTAATAACAAGTCTGTGCCATCTCGGGCTTTAAGACATTAAATCACAGCTTTGCTTAAAAGTTACTGAAGTCAATCACTCTTAATAATGGCCGTCTCACCCTTCACAGTCACACATCAAAACATCACCTCCATATCGTGCCCCCCTCGCCACTCACTGGTAGTCAGCTTTGAGGAAGAGAGAGCACATAAAATTCACATTATTTCATGCTGCCACTGCTCCTTGCTGCTGAAACAACTCAATGCAGAGCAGAAGGGAGAGAAGCAGTGAGGATTTTTTGGAGCTAAAGTAGATAGAAATGCCGTGTGTGTATCACAGGGCTTTGCTGGGACAGCTCGGTGATGTGATATTGATGTAATTTTTTTCTTCTCCTCCTTTAATTAATTGTACTTTTCTGCAGTGTTCAACCTGTGCACCAGATTTTACCAGATTACCTCTCTTTGCTCACTTCAGCTAATTTGAGAACAAACACGTTATATAACCCAACATCATCATCCCAGTTATAAATGACGAATTCCACCATAAAGCCTGATAAAAATCTTTATTGCAATTTCACTTTTTATATCTTTTAGACAAATAGGTTCTTGGCATCAGGGATGTCTGTATTGATTTTTACATCCAGGCCGAGCCATTCATGGAAATGAGTAAAATGGGACATGCATCATAGGGTGAGCACAGCACAAACCTGGTGGCGCCAACCTCCAGCCAGAGAGAGAAGTTCCTTCTGGATCATACGAAGTTATTTAGGATATTTTGAGTGTTTCAGAAACACGATAAGCAAGCAGTGGAAACGATGGATTCGGCAACACCGATGCAAAACTGAAAAGAGAACAGAGAGGGAAAGCAAGTTGCATTAGCAGAGAGAATTCTACATAAAATATACCAGAGCGGCTGGGGAACAGGAAGCCAAGATGTTCAGCTGCAAGTGGAGTCCAATTTGATGCTCAGCATGAGTTTAAAAGGAAGATTTTCTCAGCTTTAAAATAAAAGAGCAGTGGATGGGGCAGCAAGCTGCAGTCACGGGAATGGATTGCCCAGGCACAGGAAAAGTGAGAGCACTGAAAGCAGCTCGTTTTGCCGTGATACACTTAGGGATGTGCTCATTGCACCCAGACAAAACACATGTATATGTCAGCACCCGGTTTGTGGAGCTCCACCAGAAGTCAGTGGGAATGTGGAGAAGTCAGTGGGGAGCAGACCTCATTCCCTGCTGGCTGACGGCTCTCAGTTTTTGCAGCCATGGCCCTTTGACACAAACAAATTGCTGCCAGCCAGGACCACTGAAATCAATGGAAGTTTTGTTGTTGGCTTCCATGGGATGAAGGATTCAATCCGGCAGTCGATAGGGTTCGGGTGTCTTTTGTCTAAGTAGGGTCGTGTTAATACAGGAGGATGGGCCTAAATCATATCCATTATTGGGATTTGCAGCTGAGCATAAAAACAGGATTAAGGGGAAGAGAGAAACAATCCCAACAGTGAGCAGGGAGCCCCGAGCAAGCCCCGGCCATCAGCAAGCATGGGGCAACGAGGGGGGAAACCCACAGAGGAGGTTCCCTTCTTTCTGCTCCTTCTGCAGGAAACTTTGAGTCGCCGGCTCATTATTAACAATTAGCAAAGCATCGGCAGAAGCAATTATTGTCACACTCATACAGATATTAATCGATGGCGCTTGTTTGCCGCTGCTTCTGTTCCCTCTTCTCCGACACCACAGCACCACCAGCAAATTGGGATTCGTGGTACATATGTTGGTGCTCCACTTAATAAAAAAGACACCTATATTTTCAGATAAACTTTGTTAGTAATTCATGAGGTAAGTGACTATTTATGCTAATCGGGGAGAAATACATTCTCGAGCGGAGCGCGTTCCATAAATTTGAATGCAAAATGTTCAATTATGAAGTAAATACAGGTAATGCAAATAGTAAATTACCTCCAATAAAAATATATAAAGAACGTGTCTTCAAAGAGAGCGCGGCTTTTATTTGCATCTGCGAGTTGCTTAAAGAGAAAAGAATTAATAAACGCCAAATTGCTGCCGCGATGATTGAGCTCCGAATGCCCGACCCGCGCTGGCTGCCCACAATCACAGCGCTGTTCTGTACCCCCCATAGAAGGCAGGACTGTTTCCTCAGCAATTTTATCCCCGCCAGATTATCTCGTCTGATTCTATTAATTCTCTCCCATAAATCTGCTAACAGCGATCTGTGATTTACTCACCCTGTTAACTGATCTGAGGACTGTTAAAAGGATTTATCTGGCGCTGCACCTAGGAGCGGGTTGTGCCTTATCACTGTGCTCCGAAGAAGTCTTTCGGAAAGCAATTTGCCCGGTTCCATAGTCAAATTCAGCGGGCACTCTTTAGTTCTGCACCATAAAATCAGACACCGGGCAAACAAAGGGAGCGGTAACTGTTCTTAATGTGTTGTTCTTGATCCGCACCCAAAGCAGAACGCATCGTGGTCTGAGCTCCTAACCTGGAGCGGGGCAGGAGGTGCGGGGATGTGGGCTGTGCGCTGCCTGGGTCGGTGCTGGGAGAGAGAGAGGGGCTGAGACGTGGCCTGGTGGCAAAACCCGAGCCTGAATGGCTCTAATTGAAATGAAAGTGTGCGATTGTTAGGGGAGAAACGCTGTTAATAGGGGACTGTAAATGTTTAGACAGCCGTCGTGAATAGCCAAATAATAAAGGAAAATAGCACTACAGTGAGAATTACAGAGGGGAGGGAGGAGAGCGTTGTTGCTTCTGAAGGTTATCCAAAAATTGCAAATAATCCTTTCTTTCTTGGAGCGGCAGCTCTGCAATAATCACAGCAGAACAATTTTGTACAATAACTCCAGCGCTGCTCTGGAGGTCACAGCTCCGCTTGCACTCACTCACATCGGTGTGAAGGAAGAGGCCCCCCTCAGCTCACCCGAATTTGTGCTCTTTGTCTCAAGTTTACTCAGAAAGCTACTGGTTTGCAAACTGGATGCAAACAAACAGTTCGCTGGGACTGGAGCTGTGTTTCCACAGACATCCATCAAACATGCAAGTGGAACACTGTGTGTGTGCGTTCCAAAAAGCAATAACCTTCACTTTTTATCCCTCTCCTAGGTGAGCACATTAAGTGACATACAGTGCCTCCTTCACCTCACTCTGGAAAAAACAAGAGTTGGGGAATGGGGCCGTCCTGGGGGGTTTATGCTGTCAGTTGGGAACTTTTGCTGGTTCCAGTGGTGTGCAGGAATAGGAAAGCCAACCCGAGTTGCGTTCAGTTTGTCACTAATTGCAGTCTCTAAGATAAACCCGGCAGATGTCCGGGTGTCTTTGGGGCTCTGCAGAACTACACTCCTGTTGTTTGTGCTGTCAGAGCATGCTTTAGCTTTGCAGAATCGCCTCTGCGATCCCATCTAGGTGTCGTTATCCTGCTCGCCGCGCAGCGTGCCCTCCCTGCCTTTTGGCTGCCGGGAGCAGCACAGCTGCGCGGCTTTGTGCCGATAATGGCACGGTCGGGAGATGTTATCTATTCGTGAGCCCACTCTCCCCGTACTATTTCCCAAGCAGAGAATTCTTTGGCTGTTGCAAACGATGCTTTTCACAGTTGGTGAAAAATTACCCAGCAACTCACCCGCACCTACAAAGTCTTATAAATAGCAAACTGCGAAGGGAAGGGGGAAAAGGAGCATCTGAAGTACAACGTTCAAGACGCCGGTTTAATATATGACCAAGTGTCAGAAGTCAGGTTTCTGAGAATTACTTTCCAGATAAACAACTTCACAGCACCGCACTTCATCTTACTTACTAGAGACACCCCATTTATCACGGAATTACAAGGAACTTTAATTCTATCGATATTCCCATAAAATCCAGCCTGGCAGCCCAGGAGGGGCACTGCGGGAGCACCGGGACCACCGCAGCTCAACCCCCCGCCTACCCTCCGCCCCCTCCTACCCCCCCCCCCCCCGCCTCCCCCCCCCCCCCCCCTCACCCCGACGGCCCGGCCCGGCCGACAGCGGAGCGGCTCCGCTCGGCGCTGCGCTGCGGACGAGAGATGGCGCTGTCGGGGTTCGCACGGAGCCGCTCCGCCGCCGACCGAGCGCTGCCGCTCTCCGCCCGCACGGCCGCCCCGGCTCCGGCCCCGACCCCGGCCCCGCGCCCTCCCCCCTCGGAGGGGGCACCGGGAGAGGGAGGCGAAAGTCAGTGCAGTTTGTTCGCCACGGGGCCGAGTGCTGAGGGAGCGAGGCTTGAAAACTTGCAGGGTTCTTTGCTAACCCGGCGGGGTGTTGGGGGAGAGAAATGGATGCCCCGTGCTCGGGCGTGGGGAACGGCGAGTAACGCGGGGAGCGGCACGGACCTCGCGGGGCTGCACCCACCGCCCCCTCCCTCGGACCGGCACCGCGCTGCCCCGTACAGAGCCTCGCCGTGCCCTCCGGTGTCCGCTCTAGGGCAGGGGCAGCTCCGGGGCACCGCGGGGCGGAGCGGAGCGCTCACCCGACGGCAGCGCTCGGCGGGCGCAGTCCCGACGCGACGGAGCGGTCCCCACCCGCAGCCGCTTACCCGGTGCGTCCGGCGGTGGCGGCGGGCAGGAAGGGGTTAAGGCTCGCCCAGCTGACAGTCAGCTGATGGGGCCCTGATTGACAGCTCCCAAAAGTTTCCTTGTTCTATGCTAATATTCGCTGGGAGGGAGCCGCCCATTGGTCCGGCCGCGGAGTCCATTTGCCATTTGCAGGGTGACGTCAGGAGCGCTATAAAACTCTGCAATGCTTTTAAACTCTCCTGCTGGATGAAACCTTTAAAATATTTTTCATCTTCTTGCCGTAGCTGTGGGGTTGAGGGTTTGTTGGTTGTTTTTTTTTTTTTTTTCTTCCCTCTCCTTTTTTTTTTTTTTTATGATTGTTGTTATTTTGGTTGCGATATATCGACTTTGATTTGATTTTTTTTTTTTTTTTGTCTTCGGTCTCTTCTCCCTCCTCCTTCCCCCGATGAGCTTCTCTCCTCGCTCTGCACTTTGCACGAGAAAGCGCAGAGGAAAGGCACCATGAAGTGTTAAAAATAACAAAACAAAAGCAAAAAAAAAAAAAAAGAGAGAGAGAGAGAGGAAAAAAATTTCCTCGCAACAACACCCGCGAACGCTTCCAGCTGCAGTTTGCGAGAGAGAAAGAGAGAGAAGGGAGGAAAGAGCCGTGCGTGCAGAAGGCGCAGAGCCCCTCGCTCTGATGCAGCAGCGGCAGCGGAGGCTCTGCAGGGGATAACGCGGAGCGGGCGGAGCGCGGCGCGGCGCGGCGGAGGAACGGACGGACGGACGGGCGGACGGACGGACGGACAGCAAAGCTGGCTCACCCGGCGGCAGCGCAGAGCAGCGCCCTCGCTCCCGGAGCGCACCCTTTCTGGAGGACTGTCAGCAGCAAAAGGATGGCATCAGAACTGGCAATGAGCGGCTCCGACCTGCCCACCAGTCCCCTGGCCATGGAATATGTTAATGACTTCGATCTGATGAAGTTTGAAGTGAAAAAGGAGCCGGTGGAGACCGATCGCATTATCAGCCAGTGCGGCCGCTTGATCGCCGGGGGATCGCTCTCTTCCACCCCGATGAGCACGCCCTGCAGCTCGGTGCCCCCGTCCCCCAGCTTCTCGGCGCCCAGCCCCGGCTCCGGCACCGACCAGAAGACCCACCTGGAAGACTACTACTGGATGACGGGCTACCCGCAGCAGCTCAACCCCGAGGCGCTGGGCTTCAGCCCCGAGGACGCGGTGGAGGCGCTGATCAACAGCAGCCACCACCCGCTGCCCGGCGCCTTCGATGGCTATGCTAGAGGGCAGCAGCTGGCCGCGGCCGCCGGCGGCTCGGTGCCGGCCGAGGAGATGGGCTCGGCGGCCGCCGTGGTGTCGGCGGTGATCGCCGCGGCGGCGGCGCAGGGCGGCGCGCCCCACTACCACCACCACCACCACCACCCGCACCACGGCGGCGGCGGCGGCGGCGGCGGACACCCCCACGGCGCGGCGCCGGGCAGCGCGCCGCCCTCCTCCGCCTCCTCCTCGGCCGCGGGCTCCGGAGGCGGCGGCGGCGGCGGCGGAGGCGCCGGGGGGCTGCACCACCCGCACCACGGAGGAGGAGGCGGCGGCGGCGGCCTGCACTTCGACGACCGCTTCTCCGACGAGCAGCTGGTCACCATGTCGGTGCGGGAGCTGAACCGGCAGCTGCGGGGCGTCAGCAAGGAAGAGGTGATCCGGCTGAAGCAGAAGAGGAGGACCCTCAAAAACAGGGGCTATGCCCAGTCCTGCCGCTTCAAGAGGGTCCAGCAGCGGCACGTCCTGGAGTCGGAGAAGAACCAGCTGCTGCAGCAAGTGGAGCACCTAAAGCAGGAGATCTCCAGGCTGGTCCGGGAGAGGGACGCCTACAAGGAAAAGTACGAGAAGCTGGTCAGCAATGGCTTCCGAGAAAACGGATCCAGCAGCGACAACCCCTCCTCTCCAGAGTTTTTCATGTGAGTTCCCACAGCCTTGCCACCTTACCTAAAAGTTCTCCGTGTGAGTTGTTGTTGGGGGCTTTGCTAGAGCGCCGACCCGCCGTGCCACCTTGTATCACTTTTTGGTTTTCCAACTCAAAACTGCTTTCAGACAAACTCGGGTTTTGGGTTGATTATTATTATTTTTTTTTAAGGTGGTCCGGCTGCGTGTTGGCCAACCTCAAGTTCTACATCAGTTTCTTTTCTGTTTATTATTATTATTATTATTATTATTGTGGGGGCTTGCTGTTTTGTTTTTTTTTTTTAAATTTAAAAGACCCAACTCGCCACCAACTCAGTTCTTCATATGAAGCTTGCTCTGAAACCTGCCATCCACATCATATATATATATATATTTTTAAGTTCATGACTTGTATTTTTTTTCCTTTGAGCTTGCTGTGTCCAAAAGAGTCAGACCATATTGACGTTGTTTCATTATTTTTTTTTGCCATCCTGAGTTCTTCATATGAGATTTGAGCTTTGCGAAAAGAAAAATAAATAAATGAAAACACGTTTTTAAAAAAAAAAAAAACTGACAAATACACAAAACAAAGCAAAAACCACAAAAAAATACAAAAAAAAAAAAAAAGTGAATTTTTTTTAGACTCCAGCTTGCTGAGTTCCATCAGTTTTTAGCGTTGTTGTGCGAAACTAGAGGTGTAGCTCAACCTGCCCCAACCAGCCTGCATCAGCCTTCGGTGTGTCCATGTGAGTTTTGGCCTTAATCTGCCAAACGTGAGACTGTAGTCTGCCATTAGAATCCCATCCTCATCTCATGCATTACGCTTGCTATTTTGTCTTAGCAGCAATGAACTGTAACTGTTTCAAAAGACTATGAGAAAGAGACATTATATTAATAAAAAACAAAAAAACAAAAAAACAAAAAAAACCCTGCATGCTGGTCATGTACGGTATAATTATTTTTTTTTTTTTTTTTTTTTTTTTTTTCCTTTTGCTTGGAAATGGACTTTTGGAGACTATTATGGCATGGCATTCATCCTTTTGTTTTATTGCCTCATCACTTTTTTGGGTTGAAAGCAAAAAAGTGCAACCTTTGATCTTCCTCCTCTTCCTCCTCCCCATTAAAGTTTGCATCTGCTCTAAAACTGCTTTGAGTCACTCAGAACTTCAGACTTCCTTTCCAATGCACTGAAGCATTCCCTCTTAGAAAGACATGCCAGGATGGATGTTGGTAACCCGATGTGGCAAAAAATAAGTAAATGAATGAATAAAAACACAAAGCGCAGAAAGAACTTTGGGAAGATGCTCAAATGCAAAATTCACATCCCGCTCGGGGGGACATTGAAACCGTGCTGTTGCCTAAAAGCAGTCTAAACCAATTAACTGTAGGTGATCTGCCCCATCTTTTGATTTGATTTCTTCTTATTATTTTTTTCCTTTTTACATTTGGTCATGGTCAAATGTGGAATGCTCTGGGTTCCTGGTATATAATTTAATTCTACTTTCTGTCATCTGTTAGCCCAGTTAAAATGTATGCTACAGATAAAGGAATGTTATAGATAAATCCGAAAGAGTTAGGTCTGTTTAGATGTAGATTTCTATTATTATTTTTTTTTTTTTTTAAAGATTGATGCACTAAATTGTTTACTGTCGTGATGTAAAGGGGGGTAGAATTTGCAACGGGACTGTTTTAAAAAGTAGTTTATGCAGCATGTGCTTGCAACTTACCTATAAGTTGGGTATATGTAGTCCTTGCTATACCACTGACTGTATTTGAAAACCAAAGTATTAAAGGGGGGAGGCACCCTTGTTTATATCTATAGGGGTATTTTACATTCAAAATGTATGGATTTTTTTTTTTTTTTTCAAAATTGAAGTATTTGGGACTGAATTGCACTAAGATATAACCTGCAAGCATATAATACAAAAAAGAAAAAAAAAAAAAAGAAAAAAAAAAAGAAAAGGAAAAAAAAAAAAAAAAAAGACAAACCTGTTTAGAACGCTAATACGATTTATGCAGTTATAAAAGATGGCATTACTGCACAGTTTTAAAATGATGCAGATTTTTTTACAGTTGTATTGTGGTGCAGAACTGGATTTTCTGTAACTTCAAAAAGATTCCGCAGTTTTAAAGGCAATAATCAGTAAATTTTATTTTCAGGGACTGATATCCTGTCTTTTAAAAAAGAAAAATAGAAAAAAAAATGGAAAGTAAATCTTACCACAATAAATATAAAAAAATCTTGTCAGTTACTTTTTTCTTTTACACATTTTGCTGTGCAAAATTGTTTTATATCTTGAGTTACTAACTAACCACGTGTGATGTTCCTATGTGCTTTCCTTTCATTTTTGACTCTATGGTTATATCGAAAGAGAGAATAATCTACAATAATAAACTGCATTTTTTTTTTTCCCCCCTGATTCTGCGCTCCGTTTCTTAGCACGTTGTGCACAGTCCCCTCTGGCAGAGCAGCGCTGGCGGAGCATTGAGGCTGGTTGAGGAGCTGACCTCGGTGATAGGAAGGAGGGAGATGGGAAAGGAATAGCGCTGTGCGGACGCGACGTTGCCACCCGTTAGAAACCAGGTAGATGGGAACCGTGGGCTCCCAGGTGCTGTGCAGACCTCGGTTGGGTGCATCGCTGCGAGGCCCCAGCGGGAGGGCTGCCCCGCCAGCCTGGCACGGCCCCCAGGATTCGGGCTGCTTGGTGACGGGGCGAAGCCAAAGGGAGCACTTTGCATCCTCGTCCCGTCGCATCCCAGCAGAGCGTGCCTGTCTTGGGTCGGGGATGGCAGCTCATCAGGCTTGGCGTGTCACAGAGCTACGGAGCGTTAGAGCAGAAGCACTTCTTGCCATTGAGGCCCATGATGCCTCCTTTTACCTTTCTTTGCTTTCCCCCCCTGTTCCACGCCATTCTTTCGTTCACCTGGTGGTTTTTTTTTTGTTTGTTTGTTTGTTTTGTTTGGGTCATTGTTTTCAAAATTTTGCTGCAGGCCTTAGAGAGCCCAGAGTGAGCCAAAGGATTCAAAGGGCTTCCTCCAAGTTTTGCAGTCGGCCCCAGCAGTCAACGTGCTGGAAGCGGTGCGCTCCCCGAGCCCCTCTGCGCTCAGTTCCCTCTGTCATCCCCATGTCATCCCCATGTCAGAGGGGACTGAGGCTCTGTGGGCTGCTCAGCCCCTGCTGACTCAGTGCAGCCTTTCCAGGAGCCTGCAAGGAGGCTGTTCTGGGCCTCTCCCACCTCGGAGAGTGCTAAAGCCTCTCCGAAGAATGCTGCAGCCCCTCTGGGACAATGGCTCTATCTCAAAATCCAGGCTCGGCAACCCAATGCAGTTTTAATTTTTTCCCCTTTTTATCCCTCCGCTTCCTACTGTTGATCTTCCCAGCTTTACCACCAAAACAAAAGCACCTATTAGGCTCCTCTGCCTAGTGCCCACCCTGCCCCGTGCAGCCTTGAGCCCCCTGAGCTGTGCGTCTCCCCTGCTATGGGTCAGACCAATGCCACCACCATGGTCTCCAGCAGTGATGCTGCACTGCGCCCCTCCCCAGCGCCCTTTGGCATCTGACCTTCTGTTGCACTGGGGTTTGAGTAATGGTTCAAGCTCCAGACTCTGGTTAATTGGAGTTCCACTTTCTGGTTAATGTGTAAGCTCTGGGTAAACTGGTTGCTATTGGCTGATCAGAGAATTATCTCCTCTCATAAAGACAGGGGTTCTTTATTAATTTTTTAATTCTTCTCCCACCTCACCGGGCTGAACCTGTACTGATGCACAGATTTATTCACAGGGGTGCTCAGCTCCTCAAAGGGCTCCTAGAGGGCTCTGTATGGGGATGGGGTGAAGGCAGTGCAACCCTGAGGCCCTGCGTGGGACCACTCCTGGTCCTTGGGCTGCTGTTGGACAGGGTTAGGGCAGGGTTAGGGTGTGAGATAGGTGAGAGTCGGGAAGCAGTTCGAACAGCGATAAGAAAAATCCTTCCTAGAAATAGACTGAGTGCAAAAGGGAAAATTCCTATCGCACACCCAAGCTGAGGGGAAGGAGCTTTGCATCTCTCCCAGTTTTGCATATTATTGTGCGTTGCAATCTTTCTTTACGAATAGGAAATAGCGCAGCCTTCGCTGGACTGCATGTGAGTTTCAGCCCAAAACACACCATCTTCCCAAGGGAAGGGGAAGAGCAACCAGAAGCACACAGCGCTGCTGCTAACACCAAGCTCTATCAGTTGGGGCTCTATCAGTCATGACAGGGGAGCACCCACCTTTGCTGCAGGACTGCTTGCCGAGGACTCACGGAGCCGCTCCGCTCTGAACGGCACTCATTAATCAGTGAATCGCCCCTGGCTAGGCTCTGGCTGCCCTCCTGCCCCCCTCGGGGTGCAGCACTGGGGCAGCTGGGTGCTGCCGTGCCGCAGGGTCCACTGCCATCACAGCCCTGCGATGTGTCCCCATTCAGCTACAAAGAACTTCCATGTGACCGCTGCCGGGAGATGCCTGCAGCCCCGTGCTGGCCCTGAGCACAGCACACATCCCTCCACCCCACCCCACGGCATCCTCTACCTTTATTTTAATTATTTTTCCTAAAACAAAGCAAACCCCTCTTCCCCGAGCGTCCCCGCGCTCGTGCCTCACCATTTTCACTGCCTGAAAAAAAGCAGCATCCCAGAGAGCATCCAAAAGAAGGGAGGGAGTTCTGCAAGCCCCCTCACCACTTCCCTTTGTCAGAAGGTCCTCTTTGCCCTTTTCAGAGCTCGAGAATGTGTCTGCTGAATCAGAACGCCACGCAGCACTACCCCCTGTGAAACGTGGCAGGAGATTTGAAGCGCGCAAAGCACGCTTTCCCAGCTCCTCTGCTTTCCGAGAGCCTCAGTGCAGCTGTTTCCCTCTGCTCAGCGCGTAGGAAGTTCTCGATCGAGAATCATTCATAATTTTAATACCAATTTCTATTTGACATAACATACTAATATGAGATACAGAGTGTAGCTGCTTCCTGGATTTAGGGAGGAAATGATGCATATATCAGAATTATCTGCTCAGATGCCAGAAGTACATCGGTATCCTTTCAGCGTGTGCTGCGCGGAGAGGAAATCCTCTATTTATTGCTCCCATCACCAGAGGAGCTCAGTGGACCCTGTGTTTCTGACACCTGTTCCGACGGACGGACTGAACATTTCACACAGGAGAGGGAAAAAAAAAAGCAACGTGACACAGTGCTGGGAGCTCAGGTTTTTAGCAAACTTTCTTCGCTCTTTCAGAATCACAGAGGTGGGGTTGTGAAGGGCCCGTCTGTTGCAGCTATGGCGAATGCCATGCTTGCTTGGCTGGGACAAGACCCAGTCCTAATTGCAGTGCCTCCGCTCCTGCATTGCACACCAGGATGCACAGAGCTGAGCGGCTTTTGGAGAGGGAGCATTCGAGCGCTGTGTGAATGCTGCTTAACTGATGAATTCTGGGGAGCTCAGCAGATAAAAATCAATGGATTAAAGCCCCGCACACCTCCCCGCTTTTCATTCTTGCCTGCCTGAAATTGTGGGGGAGGACTGAGAATAGCGTTTGTCATTCTTGGAGGGCGAAGAGCATTCAGATTGGTGAGCTCAAAGCCAGCACGGTGTAAAAATAGCCCAGGATGTGACTTAACTTTGCAAGTGCAAAGCAAAGGGCCGGGGCTTAGTGGGCCCTGTGTAGGGATGGAGGCAGCCTCAGCCCCAGCAGGGTCAACACGAGCCGGCACAGCATGACAGCATCTCAGTGCCCCGATGCACTTGATCTTATCACTCCAAAACACTCATTTTCTATCTACGCTGCTGTTCCAACTTTTAAAAAATGTGTATTTTTAATTTCCTGTTTGTTTCCCGAGTTCCCTCTTTTAAATCAGTGTCCTCTGATGCAGCAGAGGGGTGCCGCTCTGTGGTCACAGTGTGGGGAGGGGGACGGGGATAGCACTGCCTCCCCCCTGTTCACACTGGAGCCCTGTGGATGTGCTTTGCTTTGCTTTTTCTCCTGCAATGCATTGCACGGAGGCAATCGAAACCAGAGCAGAAGTTCGCTGGAAGTGGTGCTTTTGCACCACGACGAAGAAAAGTTTTCCAGCCAACCAATTGAGCGGTGTCTTTCCATTTCCAGCAGGGTAGGGAATGCTCGCAGCAGCATTTCCACTTTCCTGGCAGAAATGTCGGTGCTGCATATGGAGGCAGTTACCTGTGCATCCCAAGGAGCGAGCACAGGGACACGCACTTCTGTCCAGGAGCACCTTTGGGGTCAGTGCTGCCACAGATTGGAGCAGCTTGGAAATAACCTGCTCAGCAGTGAGGTGTCTGTGTAACAGCATTGCATCCGTCCTGCTGCCCTCGTCACCTCCCAGGCTTTGGGGGCTGTGCTGTGGGGAGGGAGTGCCTTGCCCAGATGTGCACACACATGCACATACACACACACACGTGTTGGGGTGCTGCCCCAGCCGGGGTGTCACAGTGCCATGCAAGGGGGGACCAGTACCGGGGAGTGGGGTGTGGGAGGGCCACGGCAGGGTGAGGGGTGGCTTCTTCTTTTTGTTTGCATGTTTGTTCGTTTCTAAATTGTTCCTGGAACAAAAGGGGACTCTGCGTAACTAAAGGATCCATCACTGCATCCCAGGCTTAGCCCCGGTGCGCTCCCAGGCGGCTCCAGTTGGCTGATCCTCCCCTAGGTATGTGCTTGGGGCCTCCTCCCGCCTCTGCTTCACAGGCTTTTCTTTTCTTTTCTTTTCTTTTCTTTTCTTTTCTTTTCTTTTCTTTTCTTTTCTTTTCTT